AGAATTGGGGGGGGGGGGGGGCTAGTTGGGTTTGTGCTGCATGTTAACCCGGAAACCGCAGCCCCTCCTTTTACATTGCAAACCCATTTTAAATGGCCAACCCAACGGGTGCTTGGTATGGGAAATGAAGGCACTAGTATTTGAAACCATTCCCACATGTTAAGAAGGTTAAAAAAGCCAAAAGACTGTGGCTTACCATGGCTGCCTGCAAGCCGAAATCTGTTGCCTGGCACTGCGTGAGTGATCTCTCACACGAAACTGGCAGGCCCTCAATATAAGAGGAAAAATGCGACCTTGTAACGAAAGCACATGTGCTGTGTAATGTGAACAGCAAAATTTAACGTGAAAGAGTGTACCCATTGTTCTCTAAAATGTGTCTTTTTTAACCACCTCTCCCTTCTCCTCCACCAGCTGCAAATGTTTCTCCTTCACAGAGGCTAGTGAAGATTAGAAGGAGGAAACAGCGGACTCGGGATGATATGTTCTCGGAGCTCCAGATGTCCTCCCACACTGACAGAGCACAGCAGAATGCATGGAGGCAGTCACTGTCAGAGTGCAAAAAAGCAGAATATGAACTAGAGGAGAGGTGGCGGGCTGAATCGTGGGATGAAGAGAGCAAGTGGCGGGCTGAAGAGGATAGGTGGCGTCAGCTTGCTGACAGAAGGCAAGAGTCGATGCTCCGGCTGCTGGAGCATCAAACTGATATGCTCCAACGTATGGTTGAGCTGCAGGAAAGGCAGCAGGAGCAGAGACCGCCGCTACAGCCCCTGTCTAACCAACAGCCCTCCTCCCCAAGTTCCACAGCCTCCTCACCCAGACGCCCAAGAACGTGGTGGGGGGGCCTCCGGCCACCCAGTCACTCCACCCCAGATGATTGCCCGAGCATCAGAAGGCTGGGCTTCAATAAGTGTTAAAGTTTTAAACTTTTAAACTGCAGTGTGTCCTTTTCCTTCCCTCCTCCCCCACCCCTCGCGGGCTACCTTGGCAATTATCCCCCTAGTTGTGTAATGAATTAATAAAGAATGCATGAATGTGAAGTAACAATAACTTTATTGCTTCTGCAAACGGTGCTCGAAGGGGGGAGGGGAGAGTGGTTAGTTTACAGGGAAGTAGAGTGAACCAGGGGTGGAGGGAGGGGGAGGGTTCATCAAGGAGAAACAAACAGAAGTTTCACACCGTAGCCTGACCAGTCACAAAACTGGTTTTCAAAGCTTCTCTGATGCGCACCGCGCCCTGCTGTACTCTTCTAACCGCCCTGGTGTCTGGCTGCGCATAATCAGCGGCCAGGCGATTTGCTTCAACCTCCCACCCCGCCATAAATGTCTCCCCCTTACTCTCACAGATATTGTGGAGCGCACAGCAAGCAGCAATAACAATTGGAATATTGGCTTCGCTGAGGTCTATCCGAGTCAGTAAACTGCGCCAGCGCGCTTTTAAACGTCCAAATACACATTCTACCACCATTCGGCACTTGCTCAGCCTATAGTTGAACAGGTCCTGACTACTGTCCAGGCTGCCTGTGTACGGCTTCATGAGCCATGGCATTAAGGGGTAGGCTGGGTCCCCAAGGATAATGATAGGCATTTCAACATCCCCAACGGTTATTTTCTGGTCCGGGAAGAAAGTCCCTTCCTCCAGCTTTTGAAACAGACCAGAGTTCCTGAAGACGCGAGCATCATGTACCTTTCCCGGCCATCCCACGTTGATGTTAGTGAAACGTCCCTTGTGATCCACCAGGGCTTGCAGCAGCATTGGAAAGTACCCCTTGCGGTTTATGTACTCGGTGGCTTGGTGCTCCGATGACAAGATAGGGATATGGGTTCCGTCTATCGCCGCACCACAGTTTGGGAATCCCATTGCAACAAAGCCATCCACTATGACCTGCACGTTTCCCAGAGTCACTACCCTTGATATCAGCAGGTCTTTGATTGCGTTGGCTACTTGGATCACAGCAGCCCCCACAGTAGATTTGCCCACTCCAAATTGACCGGTAGCTGTCTGGCGTTGCAAGCTTCCACAGGGCAATCGCCACTCGCTTCTCAACTGTGAGGGCTGCTCTCATCCTGGTATTCTGGCGCTTCAGGGCAGGGGAAAGCAAGTCACAAAGTTCCATGAAAGTGCCCTTACGCATGCGAAAGTTTCGCAGCCACTGGGAATCGTCCCACACCTGCAACACGATGCGGTCCCACCAGTCTGTGCTTGTTTCCTGGGCCCAGAATCGGCGTTCCACGCCATGAACCTGCCCCAGTAACACCATGATTTGCACACTGCTGGGGCCTGTACTTTGTGAGAGGTCTATGTCCATGTCAATTTCCTCATCACTCTCGTCACCGTGCTGCAATCGCCTCCTCGCCTGGTTTTGCTTTGGCATGTTCTGGCTCTGCATATACTCCAGAACAATGCGCGTGGTGTTCATAGTGCTCATAATTGCTGCGGTGATCTGAGCGGGCTCCATGATCCCAGTGCTATGGCGTCTGGGCTGAAAAAAGGCGCGAAACTATTGTCTGACGGAGGGAGGGAGGGGTGAGTGACGACATGGCTTACAGGGAATTAAAATGAACAAAGGTGGCTGTGCATCAGGGAGAAACACAAACAACTGTCACACAGAATGGCCCCTCCCAAAGATTGAACTCAAAACCCTGGGTTTAGCAGGCCATTGATTTCACGGAGAGAGGGGGAAGCAAATGAATACAGAACAAATCTGGTCCATCTATTTTTTACGTCTTAAGCTGGCAGCAGACGGTGCAGCATGACTGATAGCCATCGGCATCTTCTGGGTGCTTGGCAGAAAATGCTGTATTACGACTGCTAGCCATCATCGTCAAGACGGTTCAATAAGACTGCCGGCAGGACTGAGTCGCCAGGAGACAAAACATGTCTGCCCAGGTGCCTCAGACCGAACTCACTGAGGAGTACGACGACGACAGATACCAGTCGTAATACACCATTCACTGCCAAAAGGCAAGGAGCTGCTGCTGTATAGCAATGCAGCCTCACATCTGCCAGCACCCAGATAGCCGATGACGGCTATCAGTCATACTGCACCGTCTACTGCCAAAAGGCAATTAGCTGCTGCTGTGTAGCAATGCAGTACCACGTCTGCCGGCACCCAGATGACATATGGTGACGGTGAGCTGAGCTGAGCTGAGCGGGCTCCATGCTTGCCGTGGTATGTTGTCTGCACAGGTAACCCAGGTAAAAAGGCGCAAATCGATTGTCTGCCGTTGCTCTGATGGAGGGGGAGGGGCCTGACGACGTACCCAGAACCCCCCGCGACACTGTTTTTTGCATCAGGCATTGGGATCTCAACCCAGAATTCCAATGGGCGGCGGAGACTGCGGGAACTGTGGGATAGCTACCCACAGTGCAACGCTCTGGAAGTCGATGCTAGCCTCCGTACTGTGGCCGCGGTCCACCAACTTAATGCACTTAGAGCATTTTATGTGGGGACACACACAATCGACTGTATAAAACCGATTTCTATAAAACCGGCTTCTATAAATTCGACCTAATTTCGTAGTGTAGACATACCCTGGCTCTCACTTCCCCTGGGCAGCAGGCAGCAGTCTGAGGAGTGGGATCTGGATAGCAGCAGCACGGAAGAAGCGGCCTGAGCCAGTGAGCAGACAGTCAGCAGCCTGGAAGAGATGGTGGCCATGGTCGGTCACGGGGAGAGAGTGGCCAGCTGGGGCTGCAGGAGGGGGCAGAACTGGGAGAGTGAGGGCAAGGGGGATGCAGGGAACCAACTGGGGTAATGGTGGGTCCTCCAAAAAGACAAAATGCACTTGTGTGTGTCACCTTTGTAAAAACTTTGAGAACTGCTGATTTAGGTGATACTTTTAACTATTAGAGAGACAAGCTGGGTTAGGTAATATTTTTTATTGGACCAACTTCTGTCGCTGAAAGAGAAGCTTTTGAGCTACAAGAACTCGAAAGCTTGTCTTTCACCAACAGAAGTTGGTCGAACAAAAGATATTGCCTCACCCACCTTGTCTCTCTAATATCCTGGGACCGACACAGCTACAACGCTGCATACAACTTCTTACTATTTTAAGTTTAAATTAAAAAAAGTCAAACGTCTACCTGAAATATAAGTTGACAATTGCCCCTTTATGAACGGTGTACATTTGTTCTGTACTTATTCTCCCCCCATCTGTTTGGTTTCTCTGTACCTCAGACACATGCTTCCCTGATGTCTGGCCCTCCTCTCCCTTGGAGATACAACCCAAGTACTTGTTTTCCACTCCCTTGGACATTTCTCTACAATGAGCGATTCCAGTTACATTAGCAGGTCCAGGCAGCTACAGTCTCAGGATAGCCAGTTCCTCACCTACTACACTTCTATGTAGCAATAGCCAAGTGGATGCAAAAGAGGCTGGCTCCACTATCTTGTTTCCTTCCTGCTCCCTTCCTGCTTTCACTGCTGCCAAGGCTGCTCTTGGTAAAGAAGAGCCTGGAATGCCTTGTAGAAGTAACTGGAGGCAAAGAAGAACCACCACTATGACCTCCATGTGTTTGTCAACCACCAGCAGTTCAGAGACCTGTCTGAAAAACCAATGTGTTACCTGCAATACACATTACATGGAAATAACACACTAATCTCCAACACCCAGAATAAATATACAGTGAAACAATACTACTCAAAACTAAGTCTGGGAAATAGCTATGCTGACTATATTTGTTTCATTGACCTAGATTTAATTTTTGAAAACTATTTTAAGCATCCATTTTTGTATCATGCTTGAAGAAGTTAAAGTTTTACCTCTTTTGTTGCACATAACAGAATCAATCTCCTCCTTAACACTGTACAAAGCAGCATGTGTAGCAAAGTTGAAATAACCAACAGACTTTGGCAGAATACAAGAATTACATTACACTTTTTGCTTTCATACATCCACAGATACATTTTTTGGCTTTCAGGTTTGATTCAAAAACATGGAAAGAGGGGGACAGATGCACAAAAAATTAAGGTTATGAGCACGTATGCAGGGCTGACTCACCACTGTCCTCTGTTTGTTGGGTAGGAAGACTCTAACAATAGGTTTTTGTGGAGACTTGGGGTTATTCCGTGACATATCTGTGGGGTTCTGATAAACTGAAAGGGATGAAGGTGCTACAGAGAGGCTAGAGGAGGAAGATGATGTAACTGTGTCTGTTGAAGCTGAGCTGGAGACAGAGAAATCAGTTCCATTCCCCATGGATTCCAATAACTGCTGTTCTCTTTGTTGTAGAGCATCTAACTTGCTGGTGTACTCTTCATAGGCCTGTAGAGGGGAAAAAGTTATTTAAAATCAGTTAGGCATCTTGGATGCATAAGCTGCATTGAGTGTGAATTTGTAGCCATAACATTTTAGGCTGTAATTACAGAAGATTCAAGTTACACAAAATTAGGCCTGATAAGTTCTGGGATAGGAGACCGGGGGGGGCAGGAAATACAGAACATTGCTACTGATTTGTTAAGCCAAGCCGATACTGAACCAATACCTCATCTTTTGATGGGATATAAAAACCATCATGACGATCAACTCCAAATTAAATGCTCCAAAGATACTGTTGTACCTAAAACAGGTAACTTAAGTAATGAGCTTTAATGGTGGGAGGGATAGCTCAGTGGTTTGAGCATTGGCCTGCTAAACCCAAGGTTGTGAGTTCAATCCTTGAGGGGGCCACTTAGAGATCTGAGGCAAAATCAGTACTTGGTCCTGCTAGTGAAGGCAGGGGGCTGGATTCTATGACCTTTCAGGGTCCCTCTGAGATAGGTATATCTCCATATATTAAAGTTTGCTGGTTACTTCACTGAACTCTGCTACAAACTGATTACTCCGTTGGAACCAAAACCAAACATATGCAGTGTAAGAATGAAGGGGGAAACAGAAGTTTTCATCTCTAGTATACATATTTTAGTATTTCATCCTCATGGAGAAATTATAACTTGAAAAGTTGCTAATAACTACAGAATAAAAGTTGCTAATAACTACAGAATAAAAGTTGCTAATAACTACAGCCCAGTTCCCTAAGACTAGTTGTGCACTAAATTAAACATGGTTCTCTCTTTTTTTAAAGTGTCAATTAAAAAAAAAATCTTATTTTCACTCTACGTTGTTATGCCCCTTCAGGGGTTCATGAATAGCATTTCTTTGCCTCCTGTTTTGATCTCGTATTTTTCATCATTGCTGGCTGACAAGCTAACCTGTTTACTCCTCATCATCCCTCCCCTCTTACATTATCAAGGATGCCAGTACAGCTCTTAAAACACCGTTTTAATTAGAAAGTGCACTCAAGTTGAAGGGCTTTTCAGCAGGACAAACAATTGCCAGGACGTAAAACAATTTTTAAAAGATGGTATTTGGTAACTGTGTGACAAGTTAAATATTTTGAATCCAGTGCATTTCCACCAGATAATTAAAGCTGGCTCAAAATTTGAATCCAAAACTATTTGACAGTGTCCCTTAGTTGAAAAACAGCACACTATCCCTTGAATAGAACAGTTTTTAAGTCTGGCGATAAAAAATGTTTTAATACACAGACACAAGAAAGGAAAAATCACTCATTGTGCTGTGGATTTTCCAGCCAGATGAAGACAAGAAACCCACAGAACAAATATGATACCTGCAATCAGACTCATTTTCAACCAAAACATATATCAATAGCCTAGCTTTTTCTTCATCTAGAACGTTGAACTCTGCAGCCAGCTCACTAGAAGTGTTTCTGTTGGGTGTGTTAGTTAATACTAACATTAAACTTTCAGATTAGTTGCAATGATTCTCTGAGTTTGGAGGTGTATACTTTTTTAAACAAGTGTATGCACTGCATTTTACAGACAAACTAAAATAGATCTCTGCCCCCAAGAGCTTGCCATCTAAATAGCTGAAGAAGGCAGAAGTTTTCCCCTTTATCCTCCACACAAGAAATCAAGACTGATGTCAAGGTGCATACTGCCTGCTTTGACTATTAGAGGGGCTTCCTTGTTATAGAAACACTAAAAAATTTCCAACTTAAATCCATTTGTCTTTCTCATGCTTTTCATACGCAATGTTTTCTAGCTATAAACTTCCTCCAATTGATTTTATAGTAATTTTAAATGTGCTGAACTGGTCTTAATTTTTTTATTATTAGAAATGTTTTACAACTGAACTAACACAACATCTTAAAGATTTTGGACTCCAACGCCCATGTGTGGAGAAGCCATTAGCATTCACTGGAGAGAAAAATTAACACTTTCAATGAGCCTGTCATAAGCACTCCATTTTGTCATTTTTGTATTTCTCCTTCACAACTGCATTTGCAGGTTCAGCTAACCACTCTGCCTTTATTGAGCAAACTGTCTTCCTCATTATCAGCCTTTACCAACTGTTCAAGATGGAGATGTGCTCTGAATTTGTGACATCATTTCTATGCCAATAGACTGACAAAGAATTATGACTTCACTGTGTTTTTTCTCACAACTTTTCTTAATCCCAATCAAATTCAAATACTAAATCTCAAAGAGAACCCAGAAAAACTGAAAAGGAAATGATAGAATCTTTATACACCAGAAAGGGTTTAGCGCTTCACAAACGGACACCAAATTCTGCCCTAAATTATATTCCATTGTCAAAAACCGTTACTCCAGATTTATTCAGGTGTAACTGAGGAAAGAATTTGGCTCTGTCTATAGAAGATCAGCTTTTAATACAAGTTTCTCTCCTACTTCCAGGAAAGTGGAATGTTTTTCCATATATAATTCCAGTAAATTATACGCAGAGAATTATCTTAAGCCAAACAAATGTTAAAAGTCACAAGCTTCTACTATAGTTTTGCCAATATACTTTTCCAAATCTATTCTTACTTCCTTTTTTCATAAACATTAGCTCAAATAATGTTTTGTAACACACACAGTATCACATTGCTGCAAGATATTTGTGGGTTTAACTTAGTTCCTGGACAAAATTACACATACTTTTCAAAATACGCAGAATGTTTATTTTGGCAACCTAAGATATTACTATTGCAAACCTAAGTTATACTTTATAGATAAGTCACTTGAATGTAAGTGACAGACATTGGTAAACTAACTTTGGGCTCCTTCCCACCAAAGTCAATGGAAAAAACTCATTAACTTTAATGGGAACGGGAACAGAGCCTGTTAGACTTTAAACTGTTAGTCAAAGAGTAATAACAGAAACAGCAAAAACATGTCACACAACTAGATATCCATGACTGGATTTTAGCAGTTTGTTTAAAAGTCAATCCCTTGTGTAAGCAAGAAGCAATAACAGAACGGAGAGCTGGTCAGAACATTTTCAATTTAATTTCATTTTGTCAAAGCCAAAATGTTTTGGAGACATATGGGTTTTGACTGATTGCTATAGTACATGTAACAGTCAGCTGCACAGTTGCACCATACTGGAAAAAAACAAAAAATCCTCCTACTGTACTTCATTTGGGTAAAGATATACGACTACTGTATTACAACAGAAAGGTTGACTGACCTATGTTAAACATCAGTTAGAAGAAGAGGATTCACCCTCTATTGAAAGTTGTGATAAACTGCACTGACACAAATAGAAACTTTGTCTGTCTATACTGGGGAGTTGCATTGGTGCAGCTACACCAATGGCCCTTAAAAAAAAAAAAAAAAATCTAGACAATCTAGACAAAGCCTTAATAGTCAAAATTGATTTCTGCTCCTTTTGCTTATAGTGGTTGATTTAGTTGATGAAAAGGTAATGCTTATTTAAGTTATTTAAAATGGAGTCTTAGATCATCTCCACTGTATTGTAAGGAAGGCCCAGTTAACTGAATATTCTGTCAACGTAATGAGCAGAGTTAAAATTGTAATAGGGTTTTATAAAATATCAAAAAAAAATAGGTTGAAATCTGTTAAGTTTTTGCTTTTCCAATGGAAGCACGCAGTATTCTGCTACAAGACAAGTTTAATATTTGTGTTTAGCTCCATATACAGCCAAGAAAATAAATGTAGAACAGTGGACTGTGCAAGATTGAGGACATGTAGCACTTGGAGATTAAAAACTGCAGTTTTTAAAGCCTTTATGCTTATCCAGCAACTAAAGCTGGTGAAGCATGTTCAGATCACCCCCTTTTCACAAGGAACCTGGCACCTGTGTTCTGCACCAGCTGGAGTTTGTGGAAAACCTTATTACGCAAGCCAACCTACAGGGAATTTCGGTAATCTAATCTTGTTATGACAGAAATGTGGATAACCATTTCAGAGACTGACGTGTTACAGAAATGGATGCAAGCTGTTTAATTCTCTGACAGGTAAAAACTAGCAACAGAACTTAAATTTCTCAGAAAAGAAGAATCTGAAAGACACTCAACATTTTACTGAAGCACAAGATAGAAACCCTCCCCAAGCATGACATCCTTGGATCTTCTCTGAAAGCAGAATTTTCAATAAAGCATGACATTACTGGTATCCAAATTCACAGCTATGTGAGTAATTGCATAACCACCCTTGGCCTAAGTTTCCTCCATCTGTAAGAGAGGTAATACTTCCCCCTGAACCCTTCCGGGGTTTTGCAAATAAATTTGTGCTTGTAAAGTGCTTTAGGCTACTTGATGGAAGGTGCTACGTAAGTGCAAACTATTCCTAAAACTACATTTTTTTCTACCCAATATTCGACCATATTTTCACTACATTTACTTGTACATCATGAAGGTGTCAGAACAGAAATTCAAGCCAGCAGGAATACACAGAAGAAGCAGCCTCAGCAGGTACTGCAGGAGGGACTGTTGAACACTAAAGAGGTCACTGAAAACTGTTAGAAAGTCTAATCTGGACACTATCCCCTTTGCTGACTGGCTATTTACTACAGCCCTCTCCCTCAAAAACTTCACGAGCCTCTATCCAGCTGCCCTCTATGCTTGCCTCTTTCCTGCACTCTTGCCCTATCATCTCCTGCCCGGATCCCATGTTCCTCCTTCCTACCTTTGTTTTTCCATTTAGAAAATCTCCTCTTAACACAACTCCACTGCAGAAAAGACTTAAAAAAAAAAAAAAAAAAAGGTCATGGAATTAACATCTATCAGTCTGCTTGTATGTTATATCCCTTTCCTTTACTCTGTGGGCATCTTCTTGATTTAGACTAAGGTCTTTGGCACATGGACAGTGTATAATTCTGTTTGTACAATGCCTAGCAAAAGGGGCCCTGTTTTTGGTTGGCCCCTGCACACTGCTGTTATGCTGCTAATACTACCAAAATATTACTAAATTTGAATTAGACAGTAGTCCATATAAATGAAGTGCATTTGATAAAACATT